ACCTTGTCATGCATCCACAGATGCATCACGAGCAGGTCCAAGGAGGTGATCCTCCCCCTCTATATGACATTGGTCAGGCTGCAGTTGGAGTACTGCATCCAGTTCTGGGCGCTGCACTTCAGGAGGGATGTGGACAACATGGAGAGGGTCCAGAGGAGGGCCATTCGCATGATCAGGGGGCAGCAGGGCAGGCCCTATGAGGAGAGGCTATGCGACCTGAACCTATTCAGCCTCTACAAGAGAAGGCTGAGAGGGGATCTGGTGGCTGTCTATAAACTGGCCGAGGGAGACCAGCAGGCAATGGGAGAGTCCCTGTTCCCCCGAGCACTACCGGGAGTAACGAGAAATAACGGCCATAAGTTGATGGAGAGTAGATTCAGGCTAGATATCGGGAGGTGCTACGTCACTGTCAGGGCGGCTAGGATCTGGAACCAACTTCCAAGAGAAGTGGTGCTCGCTTCTACCCTGGGGGACTTTAAAAGGAGGCTAGACAATCACCTAGCTGGGGTCGTTTGACCCCAGCATTCTTTCCTGCCCAAGGCAGGGGGTTCAGACTTGATGATCTGCTCAGGTCCCTTCCGACCCTACCAACTATGAAACTTACCATATGGTTGGGACTGGCATGGCTGGCAGCTCTGCTCAGTGCTGGCTGGGGGCAATGGCGTACAGCTCCTGGCAGTGTCCTCAGATGGCAGGTGTGGCTTGCAGTTGCCCAGCTGGGGCTCTCCCCAGGGGAGTAGCTGGTGCTGCTGGTGGCCGGTGGTGACATGGCCAACCGTGCCTCATGGCTGGGGCTGGACAACTGTGGGGGCAGGTGCTGTCCCAGTAGCCCCGGGTGAACTTTTAGTGTTGAGCCCCCCTTCGCCAGAGATGACAATAATTGGACAATGGGAAAAAAAAGTGGCAACTGTATTGCTGTTGTTTCTCCCTGCCCCTTCTCCCCACTGCATACTTATCAGGGAGGCACCAAACTTTAAAAGTGAATCATGCACCTGGAGAAATATGTACCCCAGGAGATAGAAAGGACAATACAGAGGACATGATAATGAGAAGCAGATTTAAGGGAATATTTTTGTGGGGGAGAGGTGGAAGAAAGATAGAAACTTTAAGTCTAAGGGGAAGAGAAAACGCAGCCATAGCAGCTGCAGTGTCAGGATTGCTAACTCTGAAGATATGCGGAAGCTACTTCAGTTTAGAAAGTAGCAGTGAGGTATATCTGCCTCAAAATGTAATCTTTTTTTTAAATCTGTCTTATGCAATAACCTGTTTTGGCATTTTGCTGTTGAGTTTGATAAGAGTGATTCCAGGGCAGCTGGCAGTAGCAGGCATTCTGGTTTGCTTGGGACAGCAGACCTTTTTCTTGTGCAAACCCAAGGAAACCTAAGTGTTTCAGGGTTCTCCTGCACTCAGCTGTAAGGTCAAGTCAGGATTTGGAGCCTTCCTAGAGGGAGAGGAGTCTCACATGAGCAAGGGCTGGTCAGAGCCCCAAAGAGAGCTCCGGAGTCACTCCAAGGCAAAGCCAGGGCTTGTTCCAAGATATTGAAGTTTGGGGCACTCAAGTTATAAACTGCAAGTGGAATATGTAACAGCAAGCTGAAGCCCCTTCTGAATGACAGCTTTGTCTTGGATGCCTAATGCCCTCTCACCTGTGCACTTGATATTTATGTAGTGTAAGAAGGATGTTGTAGCCATGATGGACCAGAAATGATACAAGGGGCAAGGGTTTCTTAGGGTGAGGTCCCTTTATTGAACCAACTCAGTAGTTGGGATAGTGTTAGAGAAGCTCTGAAGTGCAAGACACATGAAACGTGAAGAGGAATGCCTACAGAGTGGGTTCAATGAAAGGTATCACCCTAAGAAAGCCTTGCCTCTTGCATCATTTCTGGACCATCACAGCTACAGCATCCTTCTTACACTGCACGGATATCAGCACACAAGTGACAGAGTGTTAGACCTCCAAGAGGAAGCTCTCATTCAGACCCTGGCCTCTTGAAACCCACAGCACCTCCTGTTCATAGGGGGTTGACTTGCCCCAACTGCCCCTTGTAACCAAGGCCTGGACTGCGAAGGGAGGCTGGGCATGACGGCTGGAGAACCCCGGCACAGGAAAGGCAATGGTGAGGGGCGAGTGATGCCCTCCACGGCCCCGCTGGGAGGCCTGAGAGCCAGGAGCAGAGGGGCTGGAGAGGGAGGGGATGATTTCCTTCCTGCCCTCCCCTCACCAACAGGGAAAGAGGGTGGGGAAGAGGTCAACACCCTACCCCTGCTGCTTTCTCCTTTTCTACTTTATTGCCTCATCCTGGCCTCTGTCTATAGGCACCCCCACCATTGCCCTTAACCCCCCTCCCCCATGCCCATGCCCCCCATTCCGCTTCCGTGCACGGCGCCGCTGCTCCCCCACAACCTCCTACGCCGGCAATGCCTCAGCCGGGCGGGGCGGGGGAAAGCAAGCGTTGACCAATGGCTGCGCAGTCCCCTGAAGTCACGCAGGGTCCCCCCCCAGCTCCGCCCCTCCCGCGGCAGGCAGCCAATGAGCGGGTGCAGGGCGGGGGCCGGCCCGCAGGCGGCGGGCATGGTGGCTGGGATGGAGGCGCTGGCGTTGGCGCTGGCGTTGTTCGCCGCTCTGGCGGCGCTGTGGTGGCTGCGCGAGCGCTGGCAGCGGCCGCGGGGGCTCCCGCCGGGCCCCGCATCCTGGCCGCTGCTGGGTAACGTGGCCTGGGGGCTGCTGCCTTGTCCGGGGCTGGTGCGGCGGCTGCTGGGGGTCGGGGCGGTGCAGCCGCACGTGCTGCTGACGGCGCTGACCGGGGTGTACGGCAGCGTCTTCAGCCTCTTCGTGGGCAGCCGGCCCCTCATCGTGCTCAGCGACTACGCGGCCGTGCGGGAGGCTCTCGTCACCCAGGCCGAGACCTTCAGCGACCGGCCCGTCGTGCCCGTCGTCCTCATCATCACCCAGAAGAAGGGTGAGCTTTCCACCCCCCCGTGCAAGGGGACCCCCTCCTCTGTTCCCCCAGGTGCACGGGACCCTCTCTTTGCCCCCGGATTCAGAGGGGACCTTCTCCCCTTCCCCCAGGACAGACAGGGGAGCACTGGAAAGAGGCTTTCCCCTGCTGACTTGAGTCAGGCTGAGAAAGGCCAGGTCGCCCTGCCTGACACAGATGTCTCTTGGTGCCTGGGCCCCGGCAGGGTGCAAGCTGGAGTCAGAGGTCAGCGGCATGTGGCCACACTGGCTTTGCCCAAAGGCGTCCATCCCTCTCCAGGCCCATTGCTGCCTGGGCTGACAGATTGTGTTCCTCCTGCCCATCTGCTGAAGGAGGGGGATGGCACTTGGTGCTTATCTGGGTGTCGGAGGACTTGTGCTTAACAGGAGGGGTAGAAATGGCGTGATTGCCCCCTATGGGCTGCACAGATGCACCCCTGATCAGAGTATGTAAAGGATGGCAAAAACTTGGGTGTCTTGTGGGGATAAAGGGAAGAAGAAGCAAGGCTTACTGTCTCTGCTGCTGTGATGGGGCAAAGGCTGAATGCACCTGAGGACTCTTGGGGAGGTAGTATCACCAGGTATCATTACTAAGATTATTACATATCACCTCCTCAAGAGTCTTGATTACCTCTGCCTGCAGGCCACTATGGCTACAGCCTGTACCTCAGTACCACACAGTTTGTTAAGCCGCCTCTGCTTTCATTGTTCCTGCAACAGTAGCAAATGAGTCACCTTCTGCTTTCATGCAAATTTTATGTAAGATATACTTGCCCACAGGTGAAGGAAGACATAAAAACCACACAAAGTACAACATAATTATAGCTGTTGATTAGCTCATGCACTGAAGCAGGAGGGTTGATTAAGTTTGGTTGCTTTATTCCTAGCTGAAGCAGAGGAGATGGTTTTATTTACATCCAAGGACTTAAGGTTTAGCATCTGTCAAGCAATGCCCTGCTGATTTGTAGCAGCATCATGAGAAGCTCAAATAGTTGGGTAATCAGCTCAGGTGACTTTGCACTTCCTCAGCTCTGATAAGGTAATGCTGCCTAAATGTGGCTTCCTGTGACTTTCGGGAGATAAATATGGCATTACCTGTGCTATGTGCAGGTAACCTTGTGTTGCTAGAGACACTTGAGTGAATTCAGCTGTATCACATGATCAAAAACATGGTGTGGTTGATGGATCAAGGGAGCTGTTTGCAGGCAGCCACCAAAGGGGTTTTCACAAAATGGCATGTGAATTGCAAATATGTAAGTCTAATGTTGCTATGGGAATTTCATTACATTCATCTTTGAGATCCTTTCTTGAATTGTATACTGTATAATAATCTTAGTAATGATAGCTGGATGATTTGGGGAGAATAGGGAACATGAGGCTTGTGAATGTGTCGCATCATTTCCAGCAGAGCTTTTCATACGTGTTGGATGGTATTTCAGAGTTCACTTTTACAGTACTTCTACAGTGATATGACTGTTTGATATCATTATCCTTATCATGTTGACAGATGTTCAAATTTGATATCCTTAGATCTGCAACAGTGCTGAAATATAGCTGTAAGGCTGAGGGACCGATCAGCCTTATCTATGCAGTATTTATCAAACTGAGTGCTTTTTAATAGGTGGGAAGTAAAAATGGATTTGTTTTCTTCAAGAGTCTTTGTCCTACTAACATGTAATAGAGCTACAGAATTTTGACAAATATAATTATTTTTGGTATAGAGACAGCCTTGAATATGATCAGTTCTGTGATTGATCTGGATCCTGAGCATGAACGTAGTGGATAGAAAGCTTGGCTTCTGAGGATCTTCCTCTTGTATCATCCTAACCCTAGCAATGGATACTGGGTTTGATTTGGTGTAATTGATAAGGGTGGCTTTTGAACTGGGAAGTAGCTTCTAACTAATTGAGGATTTGGAAAGTCAAGGCCAGGACTTTTTGATTTGGTATTTGAAGTATGCCTGCAGGTGTTGCATGATACGTTGGTGACTTTTTAAAAATTTTACAAAATTAATAAGGAAGGACTAGTATCCCTTAATTTATTGCTGTCATGGAAAATCGTGGCTGTCATTAAGGTGACGGGTACCTGCCAGTCTCTCAGCTTCTGGTTTTTGGGTCCCTCTCCTTGTAAGTCCTCTGTTCCTACCCTTACTGAGCAGCATCAGCAAACTGAAAACAATCCAGTTATCTTGATGATTTTAATGGTACTCAGCAGAATAACCGCTGTAAAATTGACTGGCTGTGCAACCCTTTGTGTTTGCTGCCGCTGTGTCTGTACTAGCATTGTCTTCCATTTTCCATTATTAAACTGCCACCAGTTGCCTGTAACATTACCTAGATCTGCTCAGTATTAAACAATGTGCCAATAATGATGCAGATTTGTGAAGGTATATAGGTGCCTAATTCCCATTAAACTTTGCCCAACTCGAATAGAGGCCGTTCTGTCCTATTGCTCTCAGGGATGCTGTTGATGCTTCAGCTGAACTAGCAGTAGTGCAGTAGTGAGCAGTCTAAAGAAAAATATTTGGGTGAACAAGGGTTGTGGGTATGGCTGTTGTTGTCAACAGGGCAAAATGCGGTCTGTGTTGTGTCCTCACACAGCTGATGTCCAACCTTAGTTGTGTAGCACTATAGTTGTTTACTACTACTGTACTGACAGAGAGGTATTTAGCTGTATTAGTCTAAAGTCAGGCACCTTAGACACTAGCTGGTTCAGAGAGGCATGAGATTTTGCTTTTGCCTATGCAAGTTTCAGCCTCTGAACTGGTTAGTATTCATAGTGCCACCCTACCTTGCTTTCTGCTGTACTGATAATTGAATAGGATATTTGGTGTGTTGGGGAAAAATATGGGTATATACTTCAGCAGCAAAGCACAGAGCACCTTTGGAGAGTGCACACAAATGCGTACCCTAGGATGTCTTTCCAAATTTCTGGTAAGGACTGGCAGCTCAGCCTCAGTTGGAGGTTATTCACCTATACTTCAAAACAAGCCTGTATTTACTTTTACAATGATATGATTGTTTGCTATCCTTATCCTGATCATGTTGACAGAGACTGAACCAGCACAGTAACTACATATTCTAGCAGAAGGCAGGATAGAGATGCACCTTGTAGCATTAACAGAATTGGAGATGCATAAGCTTGTGAGCAGTCCAGGACTGTACCACGCACAGCACCCGTTTCAGTCCATCCGGAACATGCAGCACCAGCTGGGCCTGAACAGGCTCCATGTGCAGCATGGGTCATGGGCTCTGCACCTAGGGCTTGTCTGGCATATGCTATGTGGGTCAGTTATGAGACTCAGGGGCAGTACTATGGGCTGGATCCAGCCCACAGGCTGTATCTTTGACACCACTGAGTTAATCTATAAGGTGCATCTCCACCATGCCTTCTGCCAGACTCAGACTAACATGGCTAGCCAGCTAGCAGACCATGCATATAAAGCATAGTTTCATAGATTAAGGGTCGGAAGGGACCTAGTAGATCTTCTAGCCCGACCCCCCGCCAGGGCGGGAGAACAACAAAAACCCCAAAAACAAGAAACGGGACTCAAATGAGTCCAGCCAGGTAGGCATCCAGCCTCTTCTTAAAGACCCCCAGGGTAGGGGCCAGCACCACTTCCCTTGGAAGTTGGTTCCAGCTC